TCCATAGTAATTCTCACCCTTTTTGATGTAGGGTTGGCACTAGAAGCTTTCTTGGGGCCCATGGTGACTTATTTTACAGGTGCAATCACTAAAAAGGCTGTGATAATATGAAATATTCCGATTGTATGCTTGGAAGCGACCACGGTGGCTGGCTTGTAAACACTGACACCCACGGAACAAGTGAGGCGGGCTCAGGCCGCACGTGGACACGTCTCGAACGAATCACGTTGAGCAAGTTTTTTAGCGCTAGCCGAGGCAAAATTTTTGCGTTAAAATGTATCGCTAGGCGGATTTAACGTTATGCGATGCATTCATTAGGCGAGGGGCCACTGTATACGTTTGGACCATTTACGGGTTAATCTTGTCCCCCAGAATGCGACCCACACCAGTCGACTAACACCCAGGTGAACAGGAAAAAATGCCTGGAACTAGTGCTCATATTGGTGAATTTAAGGCCAGCAAAGGTTGGTTTGAGAGATTTAAGAATCGTAGTGGCATACACAGTGTGATAAGGCATGGTGATGCTGAAAAATTCCATCCCCAGCAAGTGTTCAATTGTGACGAAACAGGCCTGTGCTGGAAGAAAATGCCAAACAGGACCTACATTACTCAGGAGGAAAAGGCACTCCCAGGACACAAGCCTATGAAAGACAGGCTAACTCTCATGTTTTGTTGTAATGCTAGTGGGGATTGCAATGTGAAGCCTTTACTCATGTATCACTCTGAAAATCATCAGTACTCTCATCACTCATCAGTACTCTTCAATAAAGGTAAGTGCCATTTTATTATTTATTTATGTATTTATTGTGCATGTCTCATTGTTTTCTTTGTAGGGAAATGTATATTTCATGTAAAAAAAATTTTTTTTTTTTTTTTTAATATTTTTGGCTGTCTGGAACGGATTAATTGGTTTTCCATTATTTCTTATGGGGAAAATTAATTCAGCTAAGGACAAGCTCTCTGGAACAAATTAAAATCGTTGGTTGAGGGACCACTGTACAGGAAATTCTCACATAACACTGTGGTTAAATCTCTAAAATTAATGCTTTACATAATTTCATGTTACACAAGTGAATAACTAATAGGAAAAATATGGCTAAGTTCTTGACACCTCCAAAGAAGTCAAACAGTTATATAAGGCCTGGGGGTAGCTGATGTTTTATGCAGTATATTGTACATTCCTTCTGGAGTAAAGGCATGGCGATTCTTCCAGAGAAAACACACCGTGCTAATAGGCCACCAGTTTAAAATTATGCTTTAACCCTTTGACTGTTTCCGACGTATAAATACGTCTTACGAGCCAATGTTTCTGACGTATTTATACGCATAAATTCTAGCAGCTTCAAATCAAGCAGGAGAAAGCTGCTAGGCCCACATGTGAGAGAATGGGTCTCCATGGTCAGTGTGCACCATATAAAAAAAATCGGGGAGCCAGTGGTGCATTGTGGGAATGCCATTTCAGTTGTCATTTTTCAGCATGTCTAGTGGTAAGAAAATGTGTTTCCCCCCGCAAATCTGGGACTCTTCTCTTCCCAAGTGATGCTCTAACACAGATGGAAGTGTCAGTGAAGATCAATTTCATGATTTGGAGGGGTTTGAGACCAAAAGCAATGGAGGAGGAGGAGGGGGAGGAGGGGGGGGAAAGGGGGAGGAGGAGGAGGAGGGAAGGGAAAAGGAGGAGGAGGGAGGAGGAGGAGAAGAGGAGGAGGAGGAGGAAGAAGAAGATGTAATAATATTGTTCCCCTTTAAGCAAGAAAAAAAAAAGTCCACCCCATGACAGTGACAAGATAAGGGGAGATAAATCTGATAAGAGCTGACTTTGATGAGCATAAAGGAGGGTAATATTACATGACCATCGCCTCCCTTTGTTTTTGCTGGTACACAAACATTTCTGTCTGTCTATTTGTCTGTCTGGTCAAGCTCCCTGTCTGTCCATCTAGCTCTCTGTCTCAGAGAGAGCCACAAGACTGTGTCATCACGTTTACTCACATCTTCAAGCAGAGTATAGCACTTTGTCTGGATTTCTTGGGTTATCCTAGGTAATTTACACTATGTATACTTGTATTTATGTGTACCTGTGAGACAGAGATAGGCAGACAGAAAGAGAGACAGATTGAAAGATATAGAATGAGGAGAAAGATAATTAGATAGAATGAGGAGGGGAAGCAGCATCCGACCCCATTGTTTTTTACAGGGTAGGGGTAGTGACTAATGAGATAATATGTCACTTTGACAGCTGGCCGACTTCTGACTCAAAACAATTATAAGCCACACACTCGCACACAAGGAGAAGGAGGGAAGGAGGAGGAGAAGAAGGAGGGGAAGAAGGAGGAGAAGAAGGAGGAGAAGGAGGAGGAGAAGAGGAGGAGAAGAAGGAGAAGAAGGGAAGGAGAAGAAGGAGAAGAAGGAGAAGAAGAAAAGGAGAAGAAAAAGGAGAAGAAGAAGGAGAAAAAAGGAGAAGAAGAAGGAGAAGAAGAAGGAGAAGAAGAAGGAGAAGAAGGGAAAGGGGAAGAAGAAGGAGAAGAAGGAGAAGGAAGAAGAAAGAAAGAAGAAGAAGAAGGAAGAAGAAGAAGAAGAAGAAGAAGAAGAAGAAGAAGGAAAGAAGAAGGAGAAGGAGAAAAAGAAGGAGAAGAAGAAGGGAAGGAGAAGAAGAAGAAGGAGAAGAAAAGGAAAGAAGAAGGAGAAGAAGAAGGAGAAGAAGGAAAAAGAAGAAGAGAAGAAGAAGAAGGAGAAGAAGAAGAAGGAGAAGAAGAAGAAGGAGAAGAAGAAGGGGAAGAAGAAGGAGAAGAAGAAGAAGAGAAGAAAGAAGGAGAAGAAGAAGGAGAAAGAAGAAGGAGAAGGGAAAAAAAGAAGGAGAAGAAGAGGAGAAGAAGAGAAAAGAAGAAAAAAAGAAGAAAAGAAAAGAAGAAGAAGAAGAAGAAGAATGTTTGTTGTTTGTTTGTTTGTGTAAAACAAGTTTTGTAAACAATTTTTGATAATTATGTTTGTGTGCTTATTGTGTTGTATACAACGAGTGTATAATATATACATTGCACCTTACTTTGGTCTCATAGGCCACATAAGTTATGTGAAAAAATAAAATAGTGAAAAAAACAACAAACCTTCAAATACAAGTAAACTAAAGTTTACCGGGTGAGCGGCAGTCGCCGCTGTTGCCATACGCGGCTCATTTTCTGCAAACTTCACGGCTCTATATCTCGGTAAGTACCAATGGCAAAAATTTTTTTTTTGGACTAAAACACTCAGAAAAATAATCTTAACATTTTCATAGTCGTCAACAGAGTAAAGTCCGAGGCAGCTACGGTGAAAAGCTCTGTTCCACAAGGCACAGTACTAGCTCCCATCTTGTTCCTCATCCTCATATCCGACATAGACAAGGATGTCAGCCACAGCACCGTGTCTTCCTTTGCAGATGACACCCGAATCTGCATGACAGTGTCTTCCATTGCAGACACTGCAAGGCTCCAGGCGGACATCAACCAAATCTTTCAGTGGGCTGCAGAAAACAATATGAAGTTCAACGATGAGAAATTTCAATTACTCAGATATGGTAAACATGAGGAAATTAAATCTTCATCAGAGTACAAAACAATTCTGGCCACAAAATAGAGCGAAACACCAACGTCAAAGACCTGGGAGTGATTATGTCGGAGGATCTCACCTTCAAGGACCATAACATTGTATCAATCGCATCTGCTAGAAAAAATGACAGGATGGATAATGAGAACCTTCAAAACTAGGGAGGCCAAGCCCATGATGACACTCTTCAGGTCACTTGTTCTATCTAGGCTGGAATATTGCTGCACTCTAACAGCACCTTTCAAGGCAGGTGAAATTGCCGACCTAGAAAATGTACAGAGAACTTTCACGGCGCGCATAACGGAGATAAAACACCTCAATTACTGGGAGCGCTTGAGGTTTCTAAACCTGTATTCCCTGGAACGCAGGAGGGAGAGATACATGATTATATACACCTGAAAATCCTAGAGGACTAGTACCGAACTTGCACACGAAAATCACTCACTACGAAAGCAAAAGACTTGGCAGACGATGCACCATCCCCCCAATGAAAAGCAGGGGTGTCACTAGCACGTTAAGAGACCATACAATAAGTGTCAGGGGACCGAGACTGTTCAACTGCCTCCCAGCACACATAAGGGGGATTACCAACAGACCCCTGGCAGTCTTCAAGCTGGCACTGGACAAGCACCTAAAGGCAGTTTCCTGATCAGCCGGGCTGTGGCTCGTACGTTGGTTTGCGTGCAGCCAGCAGCAACAGCCTGGTTGATCAGGCGCTGATCCACCAGGAGGCCTGGTCACAGACCGGGCCGCGGGGGCGTTGACCCCCGAAACTCTCTCCAGGTAAACTCCAGGTATAAGAAAAAATAATTTTTTTTTTTTGAATATTTGGCGACATAGAATGACAGTTTCAGAGAGGGGCCTGAAACAGTCAAAGGGTTAATGAGAAAGAATTTTACCATACCTTAAATTTTTTGTTCCTATTGTTGATACAGAAGTGTTTGGAAATGTTTATGTAGCTCTGAGTAGTAGACGGCTGTAGGTCGTCTGTTTTATTGGGTAATGCTTTTCATGCATTTTGCTGTACAATTTCCTTGTTTATAATACTGACTAGTGAGCAGTCAGTGGCTGTGAGTTGACTGTTTGTTTTATCAATTGACAGCTGTGGGTCATCTGTTGACATTTATAGGGCCACTACAGCATGTGCCATATTGATCCAGAGTCAGTATTCGTCTTTTCTCAGGCCATAGAAATCTTTGAACAGAATCGCTTTCATGCCTGATCCAGCTTTTTAAAACTTTACAGTGCATATATTCAGTCAAAACCATTTAATAACATTTGTCGAAAAAATGTGCTGTCAAGGTGCATGCTATGAGAGAATTTACTGTAATTTAAAGTATAGAAATTAAGTATTGTACATACTCTGTATATCTTTGTATAATAATTGACCCAGTTTAATAAGTGACATTCTCTCTCAACAGATTGATGAAGTGCGGAGTCAGTTGCAAGATTAGTTGCATAGCAGTATTGTATTGCTGACCAAGTCATCTGATACTGAAGTACTGTACACCATAGAAATTTACTTAATTTCAGAATGCAGTATTTGCTCATGCCAAGGAACAGACCTTAAACTTTATAAATGTAATGATTTTACAAATTTAACTTTATGTAATAATTTAGTATTGTAAAGTTTTAATTTTAAGTGAATAATGTAATAGCTAGATGTATCATTTAAGTCGGGTCGGCAGCCTACGGCCCATGGGCCAGATCCAGCCCATAACCTGAAATACCTGCAGTCCCTAAGAGAAATAATATATCAACCAGGTCCACAGGCTTTTTTTTTTCTTTTCAGCTGTGGCAGGAAGTGACTGTCTATTTGTTTTTGTATCAAGTGGTGTAACAAGCCTGTATATGTGTTTTTAATTTTTAAACATAGAAATGCCCAAAACAAAAGACATTAAAAAAAAACATTTAGCGTACCAATATATTCACTAAACATAATATTGCTTAATTAAATATATATGTCAAAGTTTAGTATGTATTATTATTACCTCTATTTATTTACTACGGTGATAGTTGTGGCCCACCATCTGCTCACAGACATGGGCCCTGGCCCCTATGCAGAACAAGGTTGCTGACCCCTGATTTAAGTTATGGACTTAATTATTATTGAAGTAAAATTAGATAAGATATAAGATATCCTATTCAGATAATATTGCTGCCACAATTTACTGCTTATCTACTGCATTCTCACTGAGAAACTGATTTGCCTATATGGGTTAGTACTTAGGCCCAAAATTATAATTATAATCAAGGGGGAAGCGCTAAACCCGGAGGATTATACAGTGCCTGGGGAGATGTGGAAGGCATTCAGGCTTAATTCGGGGAACTGGAGCACAGATCCAATTTCCTAAATCAAGAGCCCCTCACCAACATCAAGGAACCTTCCTTGAGGGGTTAGGCCCAAAAGCTGTGCCTTTGCACAGCTTTTGGCCAGAGGATCTTACACCTGTTTTCATCTGTCATATTTTTAATATTGGGTTTTAACTTTCATTGCCATCTGATAAATAAAAATGGGTTGATGTCTTTATTTCATTGGGATACTAAAAGTTAGGAAAGAATACTACACTTGTAAGTTTTTTTGAGATGACCTTTTGGCTAAGTTTGCACCATAAATGTAAATTGTAAGAGCATATAAAATATACTGTATTAAAAGCAGTTTGCTCTACTTATAATTATAATTAGGTATCGTAATAATGGGAAATACTTTTGGCCTATGAGTTTTCTAAAATAAATTATTATTATAATCAAGGGGGAAGCGCTAAACCCGGAGGATTATACAGCGCCTAGGGGGGGGATATGTGGAAGGCATTCAGGCTTAATTCGGGGAACTGGAGCACAGATCCAATTCCCTAAATCAAGAGCCCCTCACCAACATCAAGGAACCTTCCTTGAGGGGTTCTATAAAAAAAAAAAAAAAATTACTCAATAACTTTTTTTTTTGGGGGGGGGGGGGGGGAGGGGCACCTTCAAACTTGAAGCAACACTTTCTTTAACAACAGTTTCTTTCTAAAAGAAGGTGAACCAAATAAAATGCATTTGTAATCACTTGCTTTCTAGCATTCTTTCTATAACAGTAAGAATTCTTAGCATATGAACCTGCCCTTTACATTTTTTTTTTTTTTTTTTTTTTCTTTTCTTGACCTTCATAGGTTTAGCTCATTTTTTGGTGAATATAATAATACAGAAAAGTACAGACATACTGGTCCAATACTGAAACATCAAATTAAAAATGGGAGACATTCTTCTCAGTCCAAAATTTAAGTACAAGTTGATTTCCCAAAGTTTCTACATATACACTGTTAAATCTCAAACATCTATTAGCAGGCAAGTTAGTCTTGAAATTAACTATACAGCTTTTCAAGCCCTACAGTAATGTACACAGTTTTGAAGGCAAAACATATTTATGTCCCTTAATAATTTTACATTTACAGTACTAATGATTTCTTGTGCAACCTGTTTTTAACCCTTTCAGGGTTTCGGACGTACTAGTACAGCTTACGCGCAGGGGTTTTTGACGTACTATTTTATTATTATTATTATCACACTGGCCGATTCCCACCAAGGCAGGGTGGCCCGAAAAGAAAACTTTCAACCATCATTCCTCCATCACTGTCTTGCCAAAGGGTGCTTTACACAAACAGTTTTTTAAACTGCAACATTAACACCCCTCCTTCAGAGTGCAGGCACTGTACTTCCCATCTCCAGGACTCAAGTCCGGCCTGCCGGTTTCCCTGAATCCCTTCATAAATATTACTTTGCTCACACTCCAACAGCACGTCAAGTATTAAAAACCATTTGTCTCCATTCACTCCTATCAAACACGCTCATGCATGCCTGCTGGAAGTCCAAGCCCCTCGCAAAACAAAACCTCCTTTACCCCCTCCCAAACCCTTTTCCCTAGGCCGACCCTACCCCGCCTTCCTTCCACTACAGACTGATACCTCTTGAAGTCATTCTGTTTCGCTCCATTCTCTCTACATGTCCGAACCACCTCAACAACCCTTCCTCAGCCCTCTGGACAACATTTTTGGGTATCCCGCACCTCCTCCTAACTTCCAAACTAACGAATTCTCTGCATTATATTCACACCACACATTGCCCTCAGAACATGACATCTCCACTGCCTCCAGCCTTCTCCTCGCTGCAACATTCATCACCCACGCTTCACACCCAATAAGAGCGTTGGTAAAAACTATACTCTCATACATTCCCCTCTTGCCTCCAAGGGCAAAGTTCTTTGTCTCCACAGACTCCTAAAGTGCACCACTCAACTCTTTTCCCTCATCAATTCTATGATTTTACCTCATCTTTCATAACCCATCCGCTGACACGTCCACTCCCAAATATCTGATACGTTCACCTCCTCCATACTCTCTCCCTCCAATCTAATATTCAATCTTTTATCACCTAATCTTTTTGTTATCCTCATAACCTTACTCTTTCCTGTATTCACCTTTAATTTTCTTCTTTTGCACACCCTAAACCCAAAATTTATCCACCATCTCTGCAACTTCTCCTTCAGAATCTCCCAAGAGCACAGTGTCATCACAAAGAGCAGCTGTGACAACTCCCACTTTGTGTGTGATTCTTTATCTTTTAACTCCACGCCTCTTGCCAAGACCCTCGCATTTTCTTCTCTTACAACCCCATCTATAAATATATTAAACAACCCACGGTGACATCACACATCCTTGTCTAAGGCCTACTTTTACTGGAAAAAATTTCCCTCTTTCCTACATACTCTAACTTGAGCCTCACTATCCTCGTAAAAACTTTTCACTGCTTTCAGTAACCTACCTCCTACACCATACACTTGCAACATCTGCCACATTGCCCCCCTATCCACCCTGTCATACGCCTTTTCCAAATCCATAAATGCCACAAAGACCTCTTTAGCCTTATCTAAATACTGTTCACTTATATGTTTCACTGTAAACACCTGGTCCACACACCCCCTACCTTTCCTAAAGCCTCCTTGTTCATCTGCTATCCTATTCTCCGTCATACTCTTAATTCTTTCAATTATAACTCTACCATACACTTTACCAGGTACACTCAACAGACTTATCCCCCTATAATTTTTGCACTCTCTTTTATCCCCTTTGCCTTTATACAAAGGAACTATGCATGCTCTCTGCCAATCCCTAGGTACCATACCCTCTTCCATACATTTATTAAATAATTGCACCAACCACTCCAAAACTATATCCCCACCTGCTTTTAACATTTCTATCTTTATCCCATCAATCCCGGCTGCCTTACCCCCTTTCATTTTACCTAAATGCCTCACGAACTTCCCCCACACTCACAACTGGCTCTTCCTCACTCCTACAAGATGTTATTCCTCCTTGCCTTATACACGAAATCACAGCTTCCCCATCTTCATCAACATTTAACAATTCCTCAAAATATTCCCTCCATCTTCCCAATACCTCTAACTCTCCATTTAATAACTCTCCTCTCCTATTTTTAACTGACAAATCATTTGTTCTCTAGGCTTTCTTAACTTGTTAATCTCACTCCAAAACTTTTTTCTTATTTTCAACAAAATTTGTTGATAACATCTCACCCACTCTCTCATTTGCTCTCTTTTTACATTGCTTCACAACTCTCTTAACCTCTCTCTTTTTCTCCATATACTCTTCCCTCCTTGCATCACTTCTACTTTGTAAAAACTTCTCATATGCTAACTTTTGTTCCCTTACTACTCTCTTTACATCATCATTCCACCAATCGCTCCTCTTCCCTCCTGCACCCACTTTCCTGTAACCACAAACTTCTGCTGAACACTCTAACACTACATTTTTAAACCTACCCCATACCTCTTCGACCCCATTGCCTATGCTCTCATTAGCCCATCTATCCTCCAATAGCTGTTTTATATCTTACCCTAACTGCCTCCTCTTTTAGTTTATAAACCTTCACCTCTCTCTTCCCTGATGCTTCTATTCTCCTTGTATCCCATCTACCTTTACTCTCAGTGTAGCTACAACTAGAAAGTGATCTGATATATCTGTGGCCCTCTATAAACATGTACATCCTGAAGTCTACTCAGCAGTCTTTTATCTACCAATACATAATCCAACAAAACTACTGTCATTTCGCCCTCCATCATATCTTGTATACTTATTTAACCTCTTTTTCTTAAAATATGTATTACCTATAACTAAACCCCTTTCTATACAAAGTTCAATCAAAGGGCTCCCATTATCATTTACACCTGGCACCCCAAACTTACCTACCACACCCTCTCTAAAAGTTTCTCCTACTTTAGCATTCAGGTCCCCTACCACAATTACTCTCTCACTTGGTTCAAAGGCTCCTATACATTCACTTAACATCTCCCAAAATCTCTCTCTCTCCTCTGCATTCCTCTCTTCTCCAGGTGCATAACACGCTTATTATGACCCACTTCTCGCATCCAACCTTTACTTTAATCCACATAATTCTTTGAATTTACAATTCATATTTCTTTTCTCCTTCCATAACTGATCTTTTAAACTTTACTGTCCCCCTTCCTTTTTTCCTAACCCGCGATACTCCGTTTTAAATCCCATTTATTCCCCTCCCCTGAAACTCTCCTACCCCCTTAAAGCTTTTTTTCGCTTAGACCAGGACCCCAATTTCTTTTCATTCATAACATCAAAATCTCTGTTTTTTTGTCACCCCGCACTACATCCACCACTTTTCAGCACCCAGTTTTATAAAGTTTTTCTTTTTCCTTTTTTAGTAAATGTTTTTCGGGGAAAGGGGGTTACCCCATTGCTCCCGGCATAAATTCTAGCCCCGTCAAATCTCGCAGAAAAGGCTTGTGGCCTGATGTAAAGGAATGGTTCTGATGGGGTGTGCGCGTTAGAAAAAAAACTGGGACCGGGGTGCTTGGGGGAATGCCATCTTGTAAACAATGTCCACCAGCCTCGGGTTAACAAGTTCCTCACTCCTCGGTAATTGGAACACTTTTTTCCCCATGA